CTCTCATCATTTCTATAAATATCTCAATTAATTGGGTTACATTGGTTGTACAAATGGACATAGTTGCATTTGAAATATACCCCAAATATATATATATATATATATATATATATATTTCATCGATCTTAAATTAAAGATAATGAGATTCTTATTTTTTGGTATAATTTATTTAATTAAAATATTAATTATATGTTTAGATAATTTGATTTAAAAATCTATTTTTTGTTAAAAAAATGGGTAAAAATTTGAAAAATGAATAGATTGTTGATTTCATTTGGGCAAATTGTATGAAAAAGTAACGTACTTTAACTTGATTTTTATTTTGGGTAACATACTTTCAAAACTTTTATTTTGGTACCTAAGATATAAAGTTTTAAACATTTAAGTATCCGGGTAATTGGTTGAAGTATTAACCAATTATCATGCTGATGTGGCGAGTGATGTGATATCTAACTCGGTATTATTTGCTGACGTGGTCAGTGACGTGGATTTTTTTAAATATAAAATTAGTCTTTTTTTAATCTAATTTTAGTCTTCAAGTGGTTACCCGGGTACTTAAATGTTTAAAATTTTACTTCTTATACACCAAACTGGAAGTTTTGAAAGTACGTTACCCAAAATAGGAATCAAGTTAAAGTACATTACTTTTTCATGCAATTTGCCAATTTCATTTAACAAAAGTTTCAAAATATTACTCTCAACTTTCTTAGGTTATTTGAATTATTCACTATTTTGATCATTAGAAAATCTCATATAATGAATGATATTTGTTCTCAAAATTCTTAATGAGGTTTTCATTTATACCCTCTCCAATTAGCATATTATTGATTACAAAACATAACTTGCTTAGGTTAATGATTTGCGGTTTATGTTCTTGAGTGATTCAAAACCTACAATAAAATTTCAGTTTTTAGATGAATTTACATCGTAGTATGAAGTATAATTATGTTATTTGGATTTATATTAGAAAAAGATGAATTCAAGTAATAAGCYGAACACCTTCTTTTAATGGAAGATTCATGGAAACAACCTAAAAGTATCATTCTATCGAATAAAAATTTGACTTGGCGTCAACCCACTTCCATTCTATATACCAAACCTTTGAATAACACCACTAGAATTCACTGATTACAGTAATGGTTATTATGGTTTGCATTTACTTTGAAAAATGGTCATTCTAGAAGTGGATAATAAGACTAAAATACCTACATCTGACGAAGTTTGTAACAATGTTAGTGAAAGGGACCTTCTTCAACGCAAAATGCAAACCATGACGATTATTATTGTACTTAGTCTGGCAATGCCTTCATTGACAGAATTACTTTTATCATGAAACTTGAATTTTATCCATTGCAATATATTGGAAGTGTCTGATAGCATCRAAGGCTTATCATGTCTAGAATATCTAAACTTGGATGGGAACAACTTTACTAGCTTCCCAGCTAGATGTTTGAGTCGACTTTCTCGTCTTGGAAGTTTAAGACTTGTAGGTTGCAATAAGCTGGAATCGTTGCAGAACTCCCATCTAACCTTAAGTATCTTGATGCAAATGGTTGCACCTCCTTACATGAACTACAAGGACCACTCAGTTATAGTGATATTCACTCAGTTATAGATGTTTGTTGTAGAAACCGATGTTCTTCTTAGTTTCAGTAGTATAAATGTAAAAAATATGGGTCTATTGGATATCTGATCAAATTAGGTTCAGGTCTAATAAATAAAWTTTTAGACAAATAATATACGTTGTATTATTTTGTCTATTTCCTTTTAAATTTTATAAGTAATTATTTTGTTCCATATTTTTATAGCTAAATTGTTTATTTAAGTCAACATTGTTTTAATGGAAGTTTCAAGGAAACGACAACGAAATTTCCAAAAAGTTTTACCAATTACTTTGATTGAATAAAGTTCCATAATTTGGGGACGTGTGGGGTTAAAAGTCGAGTCTTCCTTATATAATACTTTAACAAAATAAATGATAAAACTGATGAGGGACTGAAAGTGTAATTAATGTATTGAGGTCAATACACGTCACTTTTTTTTATATATAATTTGAGCTCTCAATATATTCTTCGCTCGCAAACTTAATCCAACACCAGATCTTTTGTAAGTTATCCATTACATTACTTGTTCTACATTTCTTTTCTTCTAAATSTTTGTTTATTCTTTCATTTTAGTTGATCTGTGAAATCCCCAACTGTTAATCCATTTTTATTTTACTCATCCATGTTACTTTCAAAGCTACTCTTTTTTGGTTGATATTTACATGTGTTTAACACAACTTTCATCATTGATAATGGCTACTACATCCGATCAACGACCTTGGTGGACTTATGATGTCTTTGTAAGTTTTAGAGGTGAAGATATCCGTAAAAGCTTCATGGATCATCTATTCCAACATTTTAACCAAAAAGGAATTCATGCGTTTAAAGATGATAAGGATCTCAACCTAGGCGAARAGATATCTCCTAATCTCGACAAAGTCATTGAAGAATCGAGGTTTCTGATAGTTGTCTTCTCTAAAAATTATGCATCTTCGTCATGGTGTTTGAGAGAACTTGTAAAAATTCTCGACTGCAAGGAGGCGAGAGAGCACAAGCATGAGGTTCGAATAATCTTCTATGACGTGAAGCCTGATGTGGTGAGGAAACAGACTGGGAGCTATGCACAAGCGTTTGCCAAACAATGAGATGTCAAATAGAACAGAGGTTGCTAAATGGAAAGAAGCTTTACTCATGGCTGCCAACTTATCTGGATGGGATCTCCAAGACATGGCAAATGGGTAAATTTGTTCTTTATTATAATGATTTATATCTCTTGTCAAATTAACAAGGGGCCATATCTTCTGAATTTCATTAAGTARCTGTTTTTCTCCCTAACAAATTAATCTAGTAACTTTATTAGAACTAATTCTATACATTCGGGGTTCTTTCTGGTCAACAGGTTTGAGTCCAAATTCATTGCTAGCATCTCGGAAGAAATCTTCAAAGCATTATCTCATGAATCTTTGCATGTTGGCGAGAATCTTGTAGGGGTGGATGCACGCATAAAGAAAATGAACTTGTTACGATTTGTTGGGTCARATAAGGTACACATGATAGGGATATGTGGTATTAGTGGAATAGGAAAGACAACCCTWGCCAAAGCTATTTATAACTCGATGTGTATCCACTTTGAGGAATGTAGCTTTTGTGAAAATATCCAAGGAGTCGCTAAGCAACAAGGTCTAACTCAAGTCCAAATGCAACTTATTGGTAAAATCATGAAAGCAAGAGTTGTAGAGATATCAAGTGTTAGTGAAGGAATTATGGTAATAAAGCAAAGGATGCCAACGAAGCCAATCCTACTTGTTCTAGATGATGTGGATCATCGCGATCAGTTAGAAGCACTAGCGGGTTCACCTGTTTGGTTTTTCCTAGGAAGTTTTATTATTTTCACCGGTGATGACAAACAGTTGCTAAGATCTCATAGAGTCGATGAAATTTATGACATGTCAATTTTAACACATTATGAAGCTTATGAGCTCTTTAGTTTGTATGCTTTTGGGGAAAAACATCCGCCAAAAGATATCAAAGAGCTCTCTTATCAAGTTGTGTACTATTTGCAAGGGCACCCTTTGGCTCTCAAAGTTTTGGGTTGTTTTTTGTATGACAAGCCTATGGATGTGTGGAAAAGTGAACTAGATGAACTTAGAACATATCCTGATGTAGAGATACAACAAAAACTGCGACCAAGTTTTGATGGGCTAGACCTCAATCGAAGAAGGACCTTTCTTGACATCGCATTCTCATTCGTAGGGGAAGATAAARATTTTGTGGCAAGTGTACTAGGCAAAGACAATTCCTTTGCATATGCTGATTTGGAAGTACTAGTTAACAAGTCACTTATTACAATATMACGAGATGATAATTCACTTCAAATGCATTGCTTAATTCAAAGCATGGCAAGGAGAATTATACTTGAAGAATTAGAGGTAAAGGAAGTCGGGAGCAGACTATGGAATTTATCAGTAGTTTCTAATGTATTGAGCAAAAATAAGGTAAGAAGTGGAATATGGTTCTTTTTGCTACGTAAATACATAGTATGAGCAACTGCATATTTTATTYTTTTCCATATAAGTTATATGTAAGTTCTTATAATAGAATCTGATAATCTTATTACTGGTATCTAGGCAATAGAAGCAGTCGAAGTTCTTGACCTTTTTCTCACAAGATCTAGTAAAAACATTCATATACACGGTGAAGCTTTCGAAGATATGGAAAATCTACGGATCCTAAAAATTTGTGAAGTAGAACGTGGAAACTTTTGGAAGGACTCTAAGGTGAATTATTCTGGAAGGTTGAAATCCTTATCGAATAAGCTAAGGTTGCTTTATTGGTATGGATTCCCTTTCAAGTTCCCTTCAGATTTTTATCCAGAAAACATTGTTGCCATCGACTTGTCTTACAGTCACATAAAAACTCTATGGACAACACCTAAGGTAYTTATTTGTTCATGCAATTCTCCTCTATTTAACACATGATGATCTAAGMACTTACCTTTGTGTCCTTGATGTTAGTGTTTTGGAAGGTTGAAAGTGATGAAGCTAAGGCATTGTCGTAACCTGACAAATACCCCTAATTTCACAAGGATTACGAATCTCGAAGAGCTATGTCTTGAAGGTTGTGTGAATTTGGTTAAATTGCACCCATCTTTTGGAATGCTCAAGAGGCTGCTTGTTCTAAATATGAGATGTTGCAAACGTTTTAGGAGATTCCCTTGCAAAGTCGAAATGGAATCTCTTGAAGTTTTGGATCTCTCGGGTTGCTCAAAAGTGGACAAACTTCCGGAATTCTTCGGCAACATCCAGACTTTGAGGGAGTTTTCTGTTGATGGAACGGCCATAACAGAGCCTCCTTCTTTTGTATTCTCTCAATACAACCTTCAAGTATTAAAATTTGGTCGACATGAGAGGATCCGATCTAGACGGTGGACTTCAATTTCCCAACCTTCAAGGTTACCAAGTAAGATGCAGCATCCCCAAAATCTCGTAATGCCTTCATTGGTGAATTTATGTTTCTTACGAGAATTAATATTTAGCCATTGCAATATATTGGAAGTGCCTGATAGCATTGGAGGCTTATCATGTCTAGAATCTCTAAACTTGGATGGGAACAACTTTACTAGTTTGCCTGGATGTTTAACTCAACTTTCTCATCTTCAACATCTTCAACTTTCTGGTTGCAAGAAGCTGGAAGTGTTGCCAGAACTTCCACCTAGCCTTCGTAGTCTTTCTGCAGAGGATTGCACCTCCTTGCGTGAAGTACAAAGACCAGTTGGTTATAATATTAAGTCATACTTAGCCATTTATCTTAACATATGTCCGAAATTATTTAGGAATCATAGAATTGAAAACCAGGTTTGTCTGACGCACCCTCTACCTAATCTTAACTCATCTATAACCTCCCACAGTTGTAGAAACCAAATTTCCTCTTTGCTTCAATTTATGGAATTCCCGAGTAACACATGTGGAATCTTCTGTAGAAAAGAAAGACAATTCTACGGTCGTGACCGTTTGGATATAATATATCATGGAAATAGAATTCCACAATGGTTTACAAATACAAGTATGGGAAATCACTTACAAGTCGAATTGCCTCCAAATMTGTGCTACAATAAGGTGAGGGGATATGGAATTTCTGTTGTTTTGACACCGAAAAAGTCTTATGGTCATGAAGATTACCACAAATACTATACACCAAAGTATTATGTGGACAACTTTGATGGTACATTTTTGGTTAAGCATTGTGCATTCTACCATTACTCCATTGGAATCCCTAAGTCAGATGTCATATGGTTTTGCTTTATGAATGTGGAATATTGGGAATGGACGGAAGCGAAGAA